CCACGCCTGTCCAAGGTCACATTTCCACTGAATACAAAACAATTTTGGAATCCTGTGACGACATTTTCTGCGATAGCTGAGATGTTCTTTTTATAGCTGTTTTGTTTTTGTTGGTAATGGCGTTGTTTGGTGTACGTGTCTAAAAATCTGAGTTCCCGGGGAGTGATTTAAGGCAGAGAGAGGCATGGTGGGGAGGAAGTCTATTAATGACCCCTGCTCTCTGAGAGCGAAACAGACTTTAAATTTGTTTTCCAGGTTTGTTACTCTCTGCCTTCACTAACTCTCTTCAGAAAGGTTCCTCCTCCCCATTCTCCACTCTCCCTCCCCAACCCCTCTCCTGTACCTCTTGGCTTTGGGCCTCTGCTAGCCTGCTGGTCCCGGCCCCTCTGCAGCACACTCTGATACCAGGGCAAGAGATGGGCCACTCACTGAACGTGTAGCACCTGCTCTGCCACCAATCTGCTTGCTCTTTTAGATCCAACTCTCCACTCTCAGCCTGCCGTTTCCTTGCCTTTAAAACAAGCTAAGACGGAAATCTGCCCACACAGTGCCGGGTTGTGATAAACATGAAATCCATCCATACTACTGCTCAGCTCCCTTCTTAACGTTAAGATCAAAGCTGATCTTCTACAGAGGTCAGAGGGTGCATCTAGCCAGCTGAGTTCCTGAGGAACCTAGAGAGAAGCTGAGGCAGTTCCCAGAATCCTCATCTTCCTGAATGGACTGATGAAAACCAACACAAAGAGTGTTGTATGGATTGTCAGAGCTCCGAACCGATGCGCATGTCCCAGAGGAGGGTGAGACAGGGCACCCAGTTCAGTGCAGGGGCCAGTCAGTCTCCTAGTCTGACTAGGAGAGGACACTGGGCAGCAAAATCCTTCAGGACCGTGTATGAATACTGGCAGATGGTGATATATTATCTGTGGATATATTGGTTATCAATCAAGCATTTCCAGGAACAGATGGGGGTAACTCAGCCTGTGCTGTAGGAGAGATACCCAGGATATACCACACCCTCAGTCCAGGACCTACACAGTGAGAAAGTGAGCAGCCACGGGAACATGCAGGTTGCTCTAATAGGGTTGTTTGGTCAGCGAAGGCCTGCTCTCCAACTACAGTCAAAGTTTCATGCGCCTGCCGCTGCTCTCTTCTTCAGTTACTGCCTTGGATGGATAAAATCCAAAGCTATTTGCTGAGGGAATGAATGAATGAATGAATTTACAAACAAATGAATGGCAAAGGATAAGTGCCGAAGGAACTCAGAGAGGAAGCAATAACTGGAGGAACTCACAAGGAAGGTGTATTTGAACTTGGCCTAGAAGAGTGGCAGGTATTTCCAGATACTGAGGAAACCCTGTGTGATCTATTTGAGAATGTGGAAGTGTGAGAAGGAACAGCTCACGGGCCGCAGAATGGAACCTAGCAGAGGGACAGCTGGAGAACATGGTGATATCAGTGGCATTTGAGGATTCTGGGGCAGGAATCAAACTGTTGTATGACGTGGGAGTCCCCTCTGTGTGCTGTGATTACCATTAATGAATAAAGAAACTGCTTTGGACCTATAGCAAGGCAGAACTTAGGAAGGCAGGGAAAGCTAGGTTGAATGCTGGGAAGAAGGGTCGAGTCAGAGGGATGCCATGGAACCACTGTGAGAATCAGACATGCCGAAGCCTTAGCTGGTAAGCCACTGTCACAGATTACTAGAAATGGGTTAAATTAATATATAAGAGATTAGCCAATAAGAAAACAGAGCTAATGGGCCAAGCAGTGATCTAATTAGTACAGTTTGTGTGTGATTATTTCGGGGCTAAGCTAGCCGGGTGGCCAGGAAGAACAAGTGGCTCTCTCCTCCCTCCAACAGTTTTGGATGAGGATTTGGATTTTATCCTGCAGAAACAGTGATCTGGGGAGGATTCTAATGTATATGAGCTGGGTATGTGACAGTGTTCTTGCCGAGGTTCTGAAGACGGGTGGAACCCAGGAGACCATGAAAGAAGATTCAAGGGGAGAAGAGAATGGAGATGGGAGCGGGGATGAGAGCAGAGATCGGAGAGAGAGGAGTTGAGATGGGGAGATGCTAGAGGCTGAGCCAGAGATACGAAAAACAGAATTAACACTGAGACTGGATCATGGGGTTCAGAGTTAAAAGGCCTTTGAGAACCTACGTGTTAGGATCTGGTAACAGGTCTGCAAGGTGGCGGTGAGTGGAGGGGACACCCATGCTCAGTGCCCAGGATAACTCATTTAAAAGTTAAGTCCTGCAGAGTGGCACCTCCCAAAAATGAAGGCCTGGGTCTGTCAAAGGACACTCATAGAAAGATCTAGAAAACAGTTGGTCATTCATGTTCAGAACTTAGAAGAAACACCTATGTGTGGGTAAGATTTATGAATCAGTTTTAACTCAGGAGGAAAAATAATAATGAAATAAAAAGATACAAGGGGTAATGCAATCATACAATCATTTTTAAATAATAGAGAAGAATTGGAATGGGTAATTCAGATGATGAACTGTAGGATCAAGCTCCATAGTGACAATCCTTTCCCTGCACAGCATACTTACCCTGTGGTATCCCTGTGGTCTGCACACAAAATACCCATTGGCGAGGGAACCTCAGGCAATCCTGAGGTTTTTCCTAGAGGCCCAAAGTCCTATGTGCATTCTCACATACCCACATAGGTCCAGGGTAGGTCAGGTACAAACCCAGGCCCAGGAAGACAAATCTTCATGTCTCTGCAGCGGTGGAGATGGAAGCTCAATGGTTTCGTCAAACAAGCTTCTATACCTTAAAACAAAGGTAGGGGGCTGGGGAGATGGCTCAATGGATAAACTGTTTGCCAGGAAAGATTGAGGACCTGAGTCCCCAGAAGCCATATAAAAGCCGGGAATAGCTGCACATATTCATAACTTCATCAGTGGGGGGAGGGGAGGGCAGAAAAAGGTGGAGAGCTGGAACTCATTGACCCACCAATACAGCTGAAATAATGAGCCCTACACACAGTGAGAGATCCTGCCCTGCCCCCCAAAAAGAGCCGAGTGGGACTAGCAAGATAGCTGAGCAGGTGTACGTGCTTGATGCCAAATCCGAAATCCACAGAAGCCACGTGGTGGAAGGAGAATATCAACTCCCTTGAGCTGTCCCCTGACCTCAGTGCATAGGCTATGTGCGTGATGAGCACATGAACACAGTAAATAAGACACGGACGTCCACCTCTGGCCTCTGCATATGCATATATGGATAAGCACGCTCTCTCTCTCCTCTCTCTCTCTCTCTCTCTCTCTCTCTCTCTCCTCTCTCTTTCTCTCTCTCTCCTCTCTCTTTCTCTCTCTCTTTCTCTCTCTCTCTCTCTCTCTCTTTCTCTCTCTCTCCTCTCTCTTTCTCTCTCTCTCCTCTCTCTCTCTCTCCTCTCTCTCTCTCTCTTTCTCTCTCTCTCTCTGCTTCTCCTGTGTATATGGTAATGAGGTCAGTCAACTTCCTGCTTCTACAGTCTACTCCCATACCTTCCAGCCATAATGGACTAGAACAATATTGACTTGTATGTAAAAATAAACTCTTGATGCCTTAAGTCAATTGGGTCCTGCTGTTAGCCTAGCATTCAATGTTTAGCTATCTCTGTGGTCACAATATTTAATTGTAGCAAAAGAAAAGTAACTAATGCAGACTTTGTATGCTCAGTTCACTGACAGTTTGTTTGGGGTGCCGGTTGTCATATGAATGACTTGACACTTGACAGGATTTCCCAGAGGCAGAGTCTGGCCCAAGGCAACTCCCAGGGGAGGAGACTTCCCAAAATGGATACTTGGTATTGCACAAACCATGGCAGAATTTCTTGATTTGGTCATTAAATTGCTGGGCACAAATTATTACAAGCTGAGTGATGACTACATAGTTGGAGTTTCACAGTGTGAAGAGATATCTTCTGCATTCAGGAACACCTGGCNTCTCTCTCTCTCTCTCTCTCTCTCTCTCTCTCTCTCTCTCTCTCTCACACACACACACACACACAGAGAGACACAGACCTACACAGTAAACAAATATGTAAATAGAAACGTGAAATAAAGACTCAGCCCGAAACCACGAAGGAGGAAGCCTGCAAGGTCAGGGTGGGGACATGGTGCTTGACAGTGGAAGCAGAAGCTGATGAGGGAAGACAAGGCTCATCTCCGAACAGGCCTCATGGCAGGGAGTAGACAGGGTTCAGAGACAAGTTAACCCAGGCAGAGAGAAGAGGATGGTTGTGAAGTTAGGCTGGCTAACTATCTCGTCGTCATGGAGCAGTTGTGCAAGGGAAAAAAAATCCCAGGAAGCATTTGATAAAGCCCAGGAAATGTCTGCAAAGAAAAGAGAATATGATGAACCCAACTAATTAGATGAGCTAAGGATGCATAACAATGATGGCTTATGATAGCAAATGTATTTAATGAATTTTAACAAATTAACTCAATTTAAAATCATTTCATCTCTTTGTGGAAAGTGTCTTAGCAGAGTGCCTAAACATTACTTGGATCAGAGCTGTGCTTGCCAAACAGTCTGCCTTTCTACGCGGAACGATGCTTGTTAGACTTGTCTCAAATTCATCTGACACAGTAGAGCAGCTAGACTTGTGCCTGGCTCAAGTCACTGCCCCCACAGTAGCTTAGCAGCCTTCTGTCAAGCTCCCAGCAGAGGTCCATGCTCTTCTCTTTAGGGATGAGCAGAGGGACTCGTGGAGCTTAAGGAAGACAACTGATGTGGGAGACAGCCTCATCTTCGCCTTGACCTGGCACTTCCGCCGTCCCACATCCTGTCCTCTCAAACAGTTTGAAGTAATTAAGTTTCTTTAAATGTGTTTATAGCCCCCGTGGAATTGCAAAGGAAATGTCAGGAAGAAACGTGAGGCATTAATTACTCAAATCCGACTGGGGCTGGGGGGGCTGTTTCTATGAATGAACGCACTTCATTAATTTTTTCCTCCAGCTCCTTGCTGTTTCCCCAGCTATAATCTATTTTTTCTCACCTCAGGGGCAATAAAAGGACAACAAAAGAAGGATTCAGTGATTTGAGTTTCCAGAACCTCTCTCTGCTAAAAAATAGGTCAGAATATTTACTTATTTATTATCAGAGAACCGAAAGTTTTAATTCTGTGACAGATGAACTGACCATCAAACATACACAGAGACACACACACACATGAAATAACACACAGACACACATTCACACACAGTGCCACACAAAGAAAAACACACACATAGATACTCACACAGAAAGACTTATACACACATACTCACAGAGAGAGACTCAAATACACACATACACATACACACAGACTCACACACATACAGACTCACACACATACACACAGACTCACACACACATACACAGAAAGCGACTCAAATACACACAGACTCACACACATACACAGAGAGCGACTCAAATACACACAGATTTATAAATACACAGACATACTCACAGAGAGAGACTCAAGTACACACAGACTTTCACACACACATACACGCAGACTCAGACACACATACACACGGGCTCATACACACATACTCACAGAGAGACTCAAATATACGGACTCACACACACACATGCACACTGATTCATACACACACAGAGACTCAAATACACACAGACTAATGCACACACACACAGATACACAGACTCACACACATACACACTGACTCATACACCCACATACACAGAGAGAGAGAGAGAGAGAGAGAGAGAGAGAGAGAGAGAGACTCAAATACACACAGACTCACACACACATACACCCAGACTCATGCACATACACATAACAATGTTCTTCTCGTTGGTTTGCTTCTCAAAGAACTTGAGGTAGGCTGACCAGACAGCTAGTGTGTGACACACACCTTAGCTGATGGGGCCCTGGTCTCCACAGCTTTGCTTGTCAGGGTTCTTCTACAGTCCACCCAAGCCTCTAGACAGCCCAAGAGAGACACTTTAGGGATCATCTGTCCCTCTGCGCCTGAGTGACTGGAACAAGGGGTCATGCTGTCTCTCTGCCCTTGAGCGACTGGAATAATGGGTTGTGGACCCTAACACTGAAACCTGGTGCTTGGAACACATAATTCACCCAAGTCTGCCAGAGCAGAGGTAGTCTCTCTGCCCAGCAGCGCTCAAGTCCTCCCGAGGTGGCCTCTCTGCCCAGCAGCATGCAAGGTCTCTTATCTATCAAGTGCTGGCACCCCTCATCTAGTTCAAGTCAATCCTTTCGTGTGCTCTCCAGGTCCTACCACGTGCCACCTGCTGCCGCTCTGAGACCCTAAGGCTCCCTGGAGCAAGTGAACTCCCTCTGCACAGTGAACAAATGTCCTCAAGACAGAATAGACAAGTTGTTTTTCACAAACATTTTAAGAAAAGGGAAATTTGTAGCTGCATTCAGACTTCTTTAATGTTTATATTACACACATTTGAATAATGCATTTGAAGTCTGTTTTTCTTATTTCTTGACAAAAGCAAGAGCTGAGAAATGGAAGGGTTAGAAACCTTCCTTCCAAGAGAGAGCGCTGAAGCAATTACATACATCAAAGTAATATTTACAGTTACATTTTGGGGGGAAAAGACAGAGAGAGGAGAGGAGTGTTGTTTTTTTTTCTCTTTTTTTTTTTCAGAAGCAAATTATTTCAGGATGTGTCATAGCACGCTCAAGATATATTAAAAAGAGCAACTGATGATGCTTCCGCAACCTGTTCCAGGCCATTTATAAACCAATTTTTTTTTAATTCCCATATTCACACAAATCTCTGTATCACTGCATATTTTATAATGAAAGCATTATATGAATATAAATTAGTTTTTGAGATATATAAATCAAATTAAAGTGTCTGAAAATGACATATTTTGGTCCACTCTCCTACTTTAGTATCAGTTAAACCAACGTGTTCATTCCCCATAAAACGGCACTCACTGGCATTGATCAAGGGAGGAGAGGGAAAGCTGCCGATGGGTCACCGTGCATATAGCATCGTCCAGGCCTGAGCTGAAATCTCAGCCAACTTGCTAACTGATGGTGTGGCTTCCAGCAGCTATCTCCAGCTGTGGACTTTAGAAATGTTACCTGGGAAAAGTTGATTCTCCTTTATGGCTGAATCCCTTTCACTCAAGACTGTGGTATTTGGAGAGTGAGTCCATGGTCGCTGTACTATTCCTGGATCGTAGCAGATTCTCAATAAGTAATAGTCAGGGGGTATTCAATAGACACTAGGTTGCACCTGAAGCACTTATTAAGTAGCTCTGAACCCCGCCAATCATCTTCTCAGTCTGCCATTCAAGGGTGAGAAGACTGAAAAAACCGCCCAAGGCTACCCAGCTAGTTGTAACATGATAAACGGCAGAGCCATCGTTATTAAGAAGATAGAAAACAGCCCTGGTACTCAGCTCTTGCTGCTTTTACATTGTTAAGCTTGGGCATTAACTCTCCACCCTCCTTCAAGTTCTTCATAAAGTACATTGATTGCTAAGCTTAACACTAGGGCACACATGGACAATATGACCCAGGCTACGCAGACCAGTCCCACATCCATTGTCTGCCTACAGTACTAAGGTTAAGAGAGCCCTGCAACCTTTCAAAGTATTTACCTGGCTACATTGACAACAACCATTTCTCTTGTGTGTCATTTCCTGTGAACAGAGACGCAGAAACCCTGGTGAGTGCCACACTCAACCAGTATCTGGCACTAGCATGCACCAGATACCCCAAGGGGAGTGTGCAAATACAACTTTCACAAGTTTGATCTGAAATAGATATCTTTATTATATGGCAGAAGAGAAGCAGACCCTATGGGGGCCCAGGGACCTAGGATCTGTTGGTCAACCAAAGGTCTAGCCACATCCAGTCTCCAACAAGAAGCAGGCCCAACACTCCAACCCCTGTCTTCATTTTCCACAAAGGAATTCCATCCCTCTTTCCTACCCTAAATTTGTAGCAACAGCTCTCCAGGGGACAAGGTACAGATGGCTGACTTCCAATGCCTTAGGAAACAGGAACCCCTTTTATTCTATGCACTAGGATGCCCTCTGCTGGGCCCCTGAGACCATGGAAGAACAGGAGCCGGCTAGCACCTTTGTGGGTCTGCTCGCCCAGACTCTGGTTTTCTCTTGTGCTATGCAGCTGCTCAAGGATGTCATAGCACTGAGAGATCCCAGGGCTCACCCACTGCCTCCACTCCACTGTACAGACGATTGGGCAAGAGATTCACTAGCAAAATCTTCACTGTGCATCCAATACACGCTCAGAGTATGCAAGCACCTACTGGGGGTCGGCTAGCTTTTCTCCAAACCACCACAGGCTTTTAGTTGTCATTGCCAGATAAACATCTAAGGAAAGGGACAAAAGAAATGTAGATAAAGTCAAGACCCATGGCAGCTTAATAGTGCTGACAACCCGGGTTGTTGGAGACATCGCTGTGCCCAGAGTTTTCTATAGTGTCAAGTATCTATTGAATGCTTAAATGGGTGGCAAAAGGAACTCTGACCTGGGAACAGGAATGGCATGGAGGAGAGTGGGAATGGAAGGCAGGGGCCAGGCAGGGAGGGCCAAAGAGAGGTGACAAGGATTTCTAGCTCTTCGGTTCACTGAAACAATGTCCCAGCTATAGTAGGTGTGACAAGCCATCCTGAGGTCTGACTCGCCTGCTGTGGTACCCATCCAGGTGATCAACTTCACCTTCAGTTTTCAGCCTTTGCCACAGACGTTCTCTGCTTACCTGAAGAGGACTGTTGCTCCTGAGGACATGCTCTGTCCTCAGAAGTTCATCAGTAGAGGCAGCATGTGACTAACCCCATGTAGCTTTCCAGCCCCTCAGAGATGCATGGCTAGAGGAAGAAGTTGCCCAGAAGCTGGAGGAGGGGTTGTCTGGATGCTTCCTAGGGGAAGGAAAGCTCATGGAAGTATGGGTGGTCCCGAACATGGGGACTTCTCAAGGCATTTGCCCCAAACAATGTTCACCGATGGACCAGACGAAAGATTCTGGAATCAAATAGTGTTGAGTGTGTGAATGTATCAAAATAACCACAGAGACATACAGTTGTTATGTATAAAAGAGGAAGGTTCTGAGAATTCACCAGGGAAGTCTTTAAGACTTTATTAAATAAGAAACTGAGATGATTTCACCATGAACAAATTTATCAGCTTCCAAGTATTAGGAGATGGAAAGCCTTCCCCAGTCTCTAGTGAAAATATAGACCTCCCCTTCCAAGGGAATTCAGACACTTTTTAAAAGGAAGAGTCCTACTCTGTTTGGATATTCTATTGGCCTTGTTAGGATAAGATATGGTCTGCAAGGCATCCCTAGGCCTACATCCTCATGGGATGTTCATGAACCATGCTTCCCTTAGCATGCGCATGCTACATGCATTCTCTCACCCATCTCCTTCCTCCTGCTTGCTCACCAACATGCTTGTGCATATGGGCCAAGCTCTAGGCACCACATGAAGTGCCCATCTCCTTTTTAGGAGCCACTGTAGTTAGTCTGAGAATTCAAGATGGGATCTATTCCAGATGTGTGGTTGAATTCAATCAAATAAGAGCAAGGTATACGTCCAGGCAATAAAGGAGATTTGGTGGTCACTTGGCAAATAAGGAAGACACTCACATCCATCCACTATGCTCCCCCACACACACTACGGGAAAGCCCACTTGGCCCCTTTTTTAACCAATCCTGTGTTTTCCTGTGTTACCTTCCTGAGATACAGTTCTGCATGTCTTCGCCATGCCCAAGGCTCTGCCATGCCACGGTCACGCCAGCCTGCTATGCTAACCGAGTCCTGCAGGTTCTCTACCCACAGAGCACGCTGCGTGTGTCCAAACCTTAGCCCCCACAGTTCTCTAGTGGGAACTTCCTCCTCTGAACGGAGAGTCACCAGCCTGGGTGTGTGAAGCAACGCACCTTTGACTCCCGGAGAAACTACCCACAGTCGTCCACCCGCGAAATAAAAGGAATCGCGAATATCTTTACCACCCCATCTGACACAAGCATTCTATAAGAGCCTGAGTGTGGGGACAAAGATAGTGTTCCCGGGTGCAAGGTTTGTGTGAGATCCTTTTTGTAACATGCTCAGTTCCCACTGCGGTTATTCAAGTGAAGAGGGGGAGGTGCCAAACTTAGAAACCCGTGTTCTCCTTCACGTCTCTCTGTATTTAAAATGAGTTGAGTAACTCCTAAATATATCAATTGTCTTTCAAAAGCTGAAGAATTTTATTCTGGAGTAACCTTCCAGTTTCGTGAATAGTGTTTAAATAAGTTGTAAAGTTCCACTGGGTCACACTCGGAAGCTTGGGAGACGAAGCAGACTGGTGACGTAAGATCATGTGGATCATGTCCCTGGGTTTGCTGCCAAATTCCGGGGGACGATGAGTTATTAGTCTCTATTCAAGAGCCGACCCTGGAGGCAGGGCTGGGTCCTATAAAGATGGGACCCAGATAACACACCAGCTACACTGTGTTCCCGCGGATAGGAAGGACACAGAACACACTGTCTGCATCATCACATCCAGTGTGCTAGGCAGCAGGAGAAGTGGGGGAGGGGAGAGTTGGTTTCAGTATCCTTTAAAAAATTAAAGCTCATTAAATGCATTAAATTTAAAAGAATTAAAAATTAAAAAATAATTCCAAATATAAAATCTGTCTACGATAAGATTACATATCGGAAAACCACAGACAGGGGAGGGCCAACCTTGACCATTCTGTAGTTCGTGGATCTGCCTGTCACAGTGATGACACCTGCCACACACACCGGAAATGCCAAGGAAGGAAACCCTGCTTCCTTCAGGCCCAGATGTGGAAGGGAGCCTGGAGTCCACAGGCAGAGGATGCTGCCAATCTTGCGCTCTATCCAGCTGTGGCCCCATTTGCACATGACTATGTTATTGATGCTGTTGACAAAAGGAAGCCAGAATGCATCTTGTGATTCCCTGGCAAGGGGCAGCTTGCTAACAGGCCGGCCTCTCTGGAGCACAGGCAGAGCGCATCAAATCCCCGTGAAGTCAGCTAGCGGCGTCTTTCATTCGTCACCATGGGCTGTCAGGCTGCAAAGAGCATTAACACGGGAGCCTTTCCCCAGAGCTCGGCAGCTGCTTGTGTCAGGATGATGTCCACACTCCATCTAGACAAACCCACAGTGTCCAGCCTCCCTCTTCCTCCATCGCGAGCAACAGTGCCAGCCTCCCCACCCCCAAGCCAATTCTCCAGCTCTCTGGAACATAGCAGCAGGCTCGGCTGGGATAACAGCCCTCCTTCCTGCCTTGCTGAGGCTTCCTTGGCTAATTCGCAGGCCTGCATTGACGCACAGAAAGCCCAGCGGGTGCAGAATCCCCGAGGACATGACATATGAACATCCAACCATCATTTCGGGGGCCCCGCCCAGAGAGAAGCAAAGAAGCCACCTTCAGACAGCCTTGGCAATAGGGAGGAGGCTTCCAGATGCACAGCCCTCTGCAAGCTGTGCTGCTGCTCTAGGCTTGTGAATAACAAGGAACTCAGAGGGGAAACCTGACTCTGGCAATCGCTTATTGTGCCACTCTAGGCCGGTTAAGTTTTAGTTACAGCTGCAGAGTGGAAGACAGAGATCCAATTGGCTGAAACGGATGCCAGAAACCCGTGTCTGGTGCCTCCAAACAGCTCCTCTGCCCTTGTGTATTACTATTACTTGCGGATAGCATAAAAAACACATAACATGTGATCAGCTCCCCAACATCCAGCTGTGCACACAGTGCCGTTAACTATGGGCGCGCGGCAGCCGCTAGATCATCTCTAAGACCCGTTTTCTTGTAAAAAACCAAAACACTGTGCCCTTGAATGGCCGCCCATCCTTCTCCTGCCCCTGGCAGCCTCCCTTCCACTCTGTGTCACCGTAACAGCGATGCTGGATAGTATTTGTCTCTTCGCAGCATCTATACAGTGACATCTATGGCTTTCTGTAAGTCAGAAATAAAAATAGGAGCTGGGCTGTTACATAGCTCTAATGCCAGTACCCGGGAAGCGAAAACAGGAGGACTGTAGAGAGTGCAAAGCAAGGCCAGCCTGGGCCATGGAGAGACCTCGTCTCAAAAAAAAATCTGTTAATTAATCAATCCATAAATGTAAAATAAAACATTGCATTTGCAGGGCACAGAAATTGAGTAGGTAAATGTAAATCGGTCAAACTCTGCTGGAAAGAGTGGAGCCAGGTCAGTGCCTGGACCCGTGCTCAATGGTTTTTTTTTTTCTTTCATCATCTTTTGTTCAACTTACTGTGTGCCAAAGGGCCTCAGCCAAGAGTCTGAGGAGAGGGAAATCACTACCCCAGTTCTGGCCTCAGCTTTCCTGTCCAACTAGCAAATCAGACTATGTGATCTCCAGTGTTGCATTCTAAAGGACTGGGGAGGCCAAGTCAGAAAACAGTGAAATCAAAAGTCAGAGTCCTCCCTAGGACCCACAGAAGACTTCTCCTGGGGCTCAGAAGTCCAAGGTGCACACCTACATCTGGCCCACTTTAGAATCCCAACGTGGAGTCCCTGGGATACTTGCTCATTCCTAATGCGCTTACGGTACACAGTCGCAGGATCCTGTCCTATTGCACACGTCATAAGATGCACATCTGGGGGCCTTGTGAGGCCTAATGAAGGGCCAGGATGTCAAGGAGACCATGTGTCCAGGGCGACAGAAGAGCGCTCACAGCCTCCCCTCCCCCAGTAGGATTTGCATCTCACTACGTAATGTACCATTAGTTTCTGCTGGGGCTCAGGTAACTTGAAAGGGTACCAGCTGCTAACCACAGGGCTCCAGGATGCAGGTGCACTGTGGCTCCCAAGTGAGACACGCCACACCCCGTGGGCCTGGGTAGGGAGAGCAGGCTGGAGAGAAAGCAGAGCTTGAGGTAATTTCCCTGCCTCTCAGTGACTGGCTGGATCGGGCTGTTTGCACAGCCCTGCGCCCTGTTCCTTGTCTGGGAAGACAACAGTTCCCCAAGGTTATTTGGAGGATGAAGTTAGGGAAGGGATGGCATCAGAACAGGCAGGAATCTGGACTCTGGAGCTCTGGTCTCCTGGTTACTGGTGCTTCATGGCTTAACTATTGTGTGCCCAGTGTCCCAGCCCCCAGACAGGCCTCATAAATATTTACACGCGGTGTGTGTTGCGATGCTCAGTTAATTGCAGCTGTGACGCACTTCGAGCGTCTCGGAGGAAAGGTGTGCGTAGAGAGGCAGGGGTTATTAAATGCACAAACAACTCAGCTCGCGGAAGCAGCGGCCTTTGGAGCTTTCCATTGCCCTGGGGTTTTTCAGACCAGAGCCCAAATCTAGGGAAAAGTTGCTCCCAAGGGGACACTGTCCAAGGGTGACATTTGTGACTATGCCAAGAGCTAGTCGTCAGAACATGAGCAGTGACACGCGCATGTGATTTATCAAGGAGGAAATGCAGGTACTAATTCAAACTCCTTAGCTGTCTCAGGAGTGAAACAGGTGCCATGAGGATCGAGTGTCAAGTAGGTAAAGCGGAGTTGGACCCAGGATCCCGGTGGGGAGGCACAGTGGGTGGCCGCTTCCCGTTCAGTGGATAAGAATGTAAGTTAATAGGAATCAATACAAAGCATCCAGACAGCATCGGAGAAAGGTGCCACAAGGGCCTGTGGACACCCGCACTACTGGACGCTTCCCTTTGACTAGATTATTGTCTGCCCGTGAAGATACTCAGAGATGGCCCTGAGTTGCTAGAATGGATGGGTTTTGCCATCTTGTTTACAGTCATCAAAATTAACAAGAACCTAAATCTGCTCCAAAAGTGTCACATAGCCCACAAATGTGTTTTTCAAAGACACTGCATAATGAAGTGTCACAGTGACATCCTACACACTCTGATACAAAGATGTGACGTTTAAACACCTATGTATCTCAATGTGTGCCCGCGGGCCTGCAAGACCGTTCAGTGGGTGAGAGCACGGAGGCAATCCCGATGACTTGAGGTCTGTGTCTGTAACCCACCCAAAAAGCCTAGTGCAGGGACAGGCATCTGTAATCACAGCCCTCCTAAGGGGAGTGAGATGAGAGGTCGAGACAGGGGCATTGCCTGGCAGCTCACAGGATGGGCTGTCATGGAATATGAAGTGCAGAAATGAGAGGCCTTGCCTCAGCATGGTGGGAGCAGAAAACCAAGCCCAAAAAGCTGTCTTCTGACCTCCATACATGTGCCATGACACGGGGACAACCCACACACACACACACGCACACATATGCACACACATATGCGAGTGCATGCACACACATGCACGCATCATTCACACATACACGATGATACATTGTTTTGATTTTAAATGCATGCATGCGTCCTCATTGCACACACATACACATACAAACACAGTGATGACTCTGTCTTATTTATGTTCTATCTCCTATAGTGCCTCTAACAAAACATTACTTCAAGCCTACAATCATAGAAGCACAAAGGGTTTGCTTCCTGTTTGTATTCCACAGGCTGGGGCTGGGTGGGTGATTGCTCAGAGGGTAAAGAACTTACTTTGCAAGGATAGGGATAGATAGATAGATAGATAGATAGATAGATAGATAGATAGATAGATAGATAGATAGATAGAGGTAGATAGATAGATAGATAGATAGATAGATAGATAGATAGATAGATGAGAGAGAGAGAGAGACAGAGAGAGAGAGAGACAGAGAGACAGATAGATGTGACAGAAAATTAGAACATGTTTATAAGTTTATAATCCAGCACTGTGGAGGTGGAACTAAGACGACCCCCGGGGCTCACTAACCAGCCCAACATCCATGGTGTGCTCTAGCCCAATGACAGACCCTGTCTTGAAATGTCAAGGTGGACCACACCTGAGGAGCAAACTGAGATGTCCTCTGACCTCCATACGCATGCTTACACGTGTGCACACATCCATACACATGTGAAGCTATATATGCATGGACACTCACACCTGTGCACCTGCACAGGTATGAACATGCATGCGCAGTGTTCACAGAATGAATGGTGAAATGCGTCTTGGGAGTGCCCTCTACTGTGGAGACAGTGACGAATTCAGTAGCTGACCCTCATGATTGTTCTCTTTTCTGCCCTAGGTCATGGCTGCGCCTCAGCGGTACCAAAGGTGAGTCATGGGTTCTGTGTCCTCTAAGTGACACGCTAGCCTGGCCTATTGGACTTCCCTCTCTATTCTTTTCTGGCTTTTTTTTTTCTGTACTTGTGAAGGAGCCATGACTGCCTCTCTCTGCACAGCCCTGATGTCAGGGAGAACACTTGGACAGCAGGGGTCCTTCAATGTGACTGATGCTTGCACCTGGACATCTAGAAGAAAGTCTAGACCCCTTCACATGGGCTGGGCTTGTCAAAAAAATGGATGGCAGGGTTTTAAGAGAGAATGCATTCCAGGAAGGAAAGCCCCCAAAAGAGCAACTCGGGGAACCAGGACAAGAGCCTTCTTGTGGTCTAGCCTCAGACATCCAGAGCATCATTCCCGATGTAGCTCTGGATTACAAGTAAGTCATTAGCCTTGATTTCAGAAGATGCAGCCATCCAGGAATGCTGTGTTTCCATCACTCAGTAACATGCATTAGCTTCTTGCAGCCCTTCCCTCCAGCGGCCCCAAAGCACAGCTGATTAGCCTGGCAGGCCCGCAACTCTGCAGATATGTGGGGATCCTGGGGCCCCACTGGTTAGTTGTGCAGCCTTGGGCAGAGTGCCACATTGTGAGCCCAAGTTCCTCCTTCTGTGAAATAGGTAGAGACCCAAATGATTCACTAGTGCTCAGTTCACTAAACTTTCTATTGTAGGTTTCCTGTGCATGTGTGTGTGTATGTGTGTGTGTGTGTGCATGCGTGCAGCAGAAAAAATGGACGGTCCCATAGAACCCCACTAGAAAATAGGACTTGATTGTGAGGATCCAAGTGAGAGAGAAAATGAGCACTAGGCTAGGAGCAGTGTGCAAAGAAATGCAGGAATCTTGGAGGGTTCTGTGCCCAGCACGGACAGGTTCTTGTAGCTTGTAGTGTGCACCCTGCACTCACCTTAACACAGGCTGCCATAGAATAGCATAAAAGTCACAGCACAGCCCCAAAGTGCAGTGTGACACTAAACAGTGGAGGATGCTCAGCCCTCACCGTCCTCCCCTCAATCTGCCCCCGGTGAGCGCCCATCCAGGCCTGAGTTCTCTAAGGTGGATGCCTCCAAGCTGTGCTGAACTCTTTGGTCTCAAATATACTATCTACTCCCCATCCTCCCATCTTCTCCCAGCCCCCACTGGAATACTGGAGGAGATTGGAACACTCTAACAGACGTTGTCCAGGACAATAAAACTTGGGTTTTTTGGGGGGGGTGGGGGGAGGAATACATTAATCAGTTGGTTACTCGGGAACCATGAGAGTTAAACAGCATGTCAGTGTAGACGGTCATATTGCCTTCTCCATCTCGGGTTAGAAGCAGAGAAGAATGGAAGGTATATAGTCCATTCCATTAACAACATTCTAGAAAACAAGGGAAAGAAAGAGTTCTAAAAAGCCAACTCTGATTAAAAATGTCCAGGCCTGCCCAGACACAGGTGCATCAACACCCTGCCAAAACTGCACGAAATCACAACATGCCTGTGGCAGACCACTCCGAGGCCGACAGAACCCTAACAGACATGATGTCGCTGAGGACACGCGTGAAGGCTAACGTCAGAGAAGGGCCATCTCGGGATAGTCACACATTCCTAGGTTCTTCCTGGTGTAGGCGATTTTTCACCAACGGATTCTTTGCAAATGTGGTGGAGTGATGAGAGAGAGAGAGAGAGAGAGAGAGAGAGAGAGAGAGAGAGAGAGAGAGAGAGAGAGAGAGAGAGTGCCTTGAGGCCATTTTAGCAGAGGAATGCTCACCCCCGTGAAACTGTTGACTGCTTGTTTGTGAAAGAGCAGGCAAGAAAACGTGGTGCACAATACGCACAGGTGTATTGATGCACAAGTTGTGGTGTGTGTGTGTCTCACACTATGTGCATAATATGAGAAGATAAATTAACATACATCTGTGTTGTATCTGTGTGTCTCTCTGTATCTCTGTGTCTCTGTATGTTTATTTGTATCTGTCTCCTCTCTTCCTGCCATGTGCGTGTGTGTGTGTGCGTGTGTGTGTGTGTGTGTGTGTGTGTGTAAGTCTATGTGAGTGTGCCTATCTGTGCTTGTCCATGTGGGTGTCTGTAGGAATCTCTCTAATTGTATCTGCGCATCTCAGTGCAGGGTTGTCTGCAATCAAATATTTATATTAGTTGTGTCAGTGAATCAACATTGCTCCTCTTTTGCATATCTGTATCTTATAATTTCTTCCGAAGAAACATACGCTTTTATGTAGTGGAAACAATCTATCAAAAACGGACTGTTTAACAAATCCTCCAGAAAAGGCAGACACTTTCTGGGATGTAAGCAATGGGCCAATGTAGCTGCCTCCTCCAGAGGCATGCATGGTGCTATATTATCCAACAATATGAACCTGTCAGTTACCTACTTCTGATGCCTAATGAATAGAATTTCAGACAAGTGACTGTCTTATTTAGAAAGTGTGTCCTCATAGGCTGAGGGGGGGGGGGTGTCATAATACGCTGATCTATTAAAGAGACAAGAAATTTCATTTTTCCAGAAACATTTGGATTTTTTCCTTCTAGTTTTCTAAGATAACGGGTATTAAAAGTTGATTACACACACACACACACACACACACACACTTTAAAAAGAAAAAGTAATAAAGATTTTGAAGATTAGGAGGCAAACCAGCTAGTACAAAATATGTGGGCCTCTAGCGACCCCTGCTGGCTAATTCTGGGCATTGCAGTAACTGAGCTAAATGAATAAGAGGCGCTATCAGTCGGATGCTCCTCAAGGGTTCACAGCACTAGTGGACAGGAACGGAGCGAAAAGGACAGCTGAACTAGAGTGAGGCTCTCGCCACACTAATGGAAGTATGTCACAGTTACTGGCAAACCCAAGGACTAAGAGTTGCCTACAAACTGCAGTGTACTTTAGACGTGCAGCAGAAGCACACAAAATTTACAGCCCACCCCAGGGCTTACACTTTGGCTGACCTCTGTTGAGGCCAAGGAAGCATTCCTTTTAAGAAGATAATTCCAATGCAGGTAGTTCTAGAATGTTCGTTAGAGAGTCTTTTTCTGAGACAAATAAAGAAAGCTCCAAGTATCCAGACCGTTCCCACCTGGAGGCTTCCGTTGGTGGTCTAGACAGACACTATGTTCGTCTGGGGTTTCCGCTGAGCTCTGAGGAGTGGAGGAGGGGACCGCCTCTCCTTCACCACCTAGTCCCTCATCTGCCATCCAGCCAGCCCTTTTACCCCCGGTTCCTAATGTGGCAGCCGTAATAACAGAGCAATGAAACACTGAGGTCTGACAGACCCAACTGGACACGTGCATCACAGAGGAAGAGGTGAAAACCTAGAAAAGGGGGGTGACTTTTCTGGGGCCACTGGGTGAGGGCCTGTGCTCTAGCTCCTCGTGAGCAGTGCCTCTCGCTGGCTGAGATGGCACTGACAGCTCATGGCGTCCAGGCGAGGGGCTGTGCACCAGCGATGAAAACTGAGAGACCCAGAAAGTCACAGGCCTCTCTCTTTGCCTTTCCCTAGTGTGTGCCAGGCATCCTATAACCTTGTCTGGCTTACCTGTCGGGCTGGTTTTATTATTCTCAGATATAAATAAGATTAACTGGGCCCAAGAGAAACTAGATACACTGGCAAGAAGGCAGTAGAGTGGAGCTCAAATCCACCGCAATATGCCAAGCAGCAGACAACTTTGGTCTTGGTCCTTCATCCGTTCAAAAAGGGATCACCAGATATTAGCGGCTGCCGGGTCCCTGAGCATCCCCAGCTGAGGAGGACCTGGCTTTGTTGAAATATGGAAGCGGCGGGGCTGCGTCCCCAACACCCCGGCCGCTTGGCTAGCTCATGCCCGAAATAACAACACACAAACTGTATTCATTTAAGAACTGCTTGGCCCATGAACTCTAACCCTTACAGGCTAATTCTCGCACCTGGACTAGCCCATTTCTAATGATGTGTGTAAGCACCCCAAGGTGCGCTTACCGGGAAGATTCTAGCCTCCGTCCATCATGGTGTCTCTGCTCCAGAGAGCAGAGCTGTTGAGTCTCCGGGAGCAGAGCAGAGTCTGACCTCACTTCCTCTTCCGCCCAGAATTCTATTCTGTTTCCTCCTCCCATCTATGTTCTAAGCTGAGGCCAAGCAGTTGGTTTATTATAACTTAACCAATGAAATCAACAGATTGATATATGACACTCCCACATCATGGCTTGAAGAATTTTTATGGAAGATCAGCATTTGGACGCCAGTGGAATTGAACGCTAGAAAAGCCACACCTAACTTTCAAGTAAGCACCGGAGGGAGCGAGCTCCCACGCTGGAGCTGAAAGCGGGGCTGTAGACTTGGACTGAGCCAGAAAGGCTGGGCTGTGCAGCTGAATTTGAAAAGACAAACACACTGCACATTGTTCGCGGGCACTGAGCCAAGAAATCACACACCCTCTGGAAGCTGTGATTTTCTACCTTGAGAACACAGACGAAAATTTCTCAGCGGCCATTTAGGATACATCCTGCCGAACCCCTCCAAAGAGTAACATCCGTTAACCTAGGCTCTAACTGAGGGCATTTGCCTGAGCCCCCATGTGGTCAGAAAGTGACAGGCCAGGATTTGAGCCTAGAACATCACGTTAGTCTCTAAGAAATGTGTTTGCCTCTCTCCCAGCTTTGGTTAGTGACTTTGCTATGTGCCTGGCAAGCTCCAAAGCTCACATCTCCAAGGAGCAGAAACATTAAAGGCTGCAAGGCATGTAAAGACTTCACGGAGGCTCAACCAGGAGAAATACTTGCTATATAATTTTTTTTCTTACATGAGGCAAATCTAGAAATAACCTGCCTAAGGCCTGAAGCTTCTTGGCTTCTGAGAGATCCTCGAATACCCAAACATTTTCCCCGTCTTATTGCTCCCTCGATTGTGTTGGCCCCAATCTCATAGCCCACGGTAATGACGCCTGTGAGCCACACAGCAGGAGGAAGACAGGCAAGTGAGTCACGACTAAAGAAAGGATCCTGGCAGCTGTGAGTT